AATGTAGATAAGAGACACTTAATTGACGTCGCGTCGTTCCTTTATAAAAGTTTCACTTCAAATATTGGCTAATGCATGTAGATAATCTACAAAAACTATTGTTTTTTTTTTTTTTAATTTCTTTATTTCAGATTTAATAATCATTCATTGTAGAATTTCGCGCGGTTAATCCATATCTCCACTTTCGGTTTCGACATTTTCATTCCCGATTTCAACTTTAACAATTGGACTATCAGGAGGCCTATGCATTCTCTCCATGTGTCTAGCCATGTGCATCTTTTGTTTAGCCCTATAAGGACAACAAGGACATTTGAATTGCGGTTCTTTGCCGCACTCCCACTTTTGGTGGTTTCTTAATGAGCTTTTCAACTTGTAAATACGTCCGCAATCTTGACAATCGAATCCTGGAGAGTTATTATCCGACGATGTGCTACGGGCTAATTTTGGCGATTTCATTGATAAATCAACCCCGTCGGTTGACGTGTGCGTTAATGTACTTTTCATACTCTCGCGCATCAATAACAAGGGCAATGCCATATGAGCCGGCCAACCGCCCCAAAGGCCACGCATACTTAGATCTTGAGCTGAAATTTTACAAATGTCAGACTCGGAACTACTACTATCAAATAATGTGAATAAATACGTCAAGAGACTAAAGATAGGAGTTGAAATCACACACAGTTATGCAATTGTAACTGAATTGAACTGAACACGGCGACTTTTGCATTTTTTTTCGTTCTTATTTATTCTCGACACTTTTCGACAGAATCATCCCCTTCAAGCGTTTGCTCATATCTCTAGTCGTCTTGTAATACGTATTCTAATAACAGGGTGAAAATTACTTTGGCGTTCTATTTATGTACATACATATTTCCACCACCTAGACAACTCTACGAATTTTTTATAGCTTACAGGTCTCAATTAACACAACACAATACATATTTTATGCTTGAATATAACCATCTCCTTTTAGGTTTCAAAATAATTCCGTTACCTAATTCTTCTAGATAGCAGGAATGTACCTACGAGCAAATTATATCGCTCGAGTATATTTCAAACAAAATATATTAAAAAAAAAAAAAACAAGTACGTCTATATTCTACTCACAAATTACAATAAAGAAACTAATACTAACAAATCATAAAAATTCTAAAAATGATGCACTACGTTGTGTAAAGAACTTTTCAATATCACAAAGTAATTTATTTATTTATGATGCCGTAATGTCTTCATAATATTTTGCTTATTTTCCTGACAATCTTCGTATATCATGTGCACCAACTTCATATGGGTTTTGTAATTGCAACGTTGTTTGAATTTTCTGTAGCACAAGTTGCAAGTAAATTTCGGTTCGACGCCACATTCGTAATTCAAATGCCTTACTAAATGCGTTGATTGCTTATAAGAATTGTTACATCTATGACATCGATATCGTCCATTAGCGTCTGGAAAATGTTGTCTTCTACTGCATCCTCGATACGCTACTACAAGAAAAAAAATACATTAAAACACATTACAAATTGGTAATAGTTATCCGAAGTATCGTTTAAGAATATTTAAAATGCGTTCACACTGAGCGGAAGAGCCGCGTGTCATGTACAATTCGTTAAATAAATACGTGCTTATTTTTGTTTTTTAAAAATTTATATTTATACATACATAGGTAACACATATACATAATACATAGGCATAATTAATGAAATAAATAAAATTCCCATCTGAAATCGTGTAGGTCAAGAAACGTTACAATAAAATTACATTTTTTTCATAAATACACAGGTAGAGCATATAATGTAAAATTCGTTTAGCAATTTCCTTAGACAAAAATTTTCAGTCTCTCAAAGTCTTTCAGCGTCTCTGAGAGCGTCTCTCACAGTCATTCCAGTCTCTCAATTATTGCCTAGGTGTTTTTATGGATCTCTCACAGTCTCTGTATGAGAGACTCGAACGATAAAATTGTTAATTCAGAGATTCGAGTCTCTCGTTCAGAGAGACTGAATGAATAAAACTGAAAAATTGAGAGACTCGAGTCTCTCGTAGAAAGACTGGGATCTCTGAAATATGTTGAAATTTTAACCACTTATTGAGAGATTCGGGTCTCTCGTTTAGAGATTCGAATCTCATGTTCAGAGACTCTGAAAGACTGAACATTTTTATCTCGGTTTGTCATTGTCAATGAAATAAAATATACTTAATACTAATATTTAAAGATTAAAAGTATTGTTGGTATGATATAATATTTATTTTGGGTAGGGATACTGTGTGTTAGGTAGATTAGAATCATAATTATAAATATTATAAACGGGTTGTTTGATGCAAGTACTCAATATATGACGTTTTAGTTGGTCTTTCCGGCTGAACTTTCTCTCACAACGGTGACACTGAAATTTTGGACTAGCTCCACACTCATATCTCACATGTCTATTCAGCGTGTACTTTGCTTGATACTTTCGTCCACAGTTTGTACAAATGAATAAATATCCTGAAAAAATAGCTGTCAATATCATGAGTTGCAAGACATCTACATTACTAGAAAATTCATTTAAAATACCTTATCAGTTTCTCACTAAACGAAAGATAATTTCATGTGAAATTGCTTATTTGAAATAATGCAGTGGGTTACTTGAGAAATCCCGAAAGGACCGCTATGTGCCGCGCGTTTTAGGCACTTAGTCTGTAATAAGCCTTACTACAGCATGCGAGTACAGAAAATAAAACAGCCGCGTAAAATGTTACCATTTTTCATATATTAATTTATTGTTATTAAAGTCGAGAAACACAGATTTTAAGTTTTCTTTTACGAAAATACAAATATTAATATATGTACCAGTAATATTTTAGTGTTTACAATTAAAAAATACTTTTGAACATTTCAAAATAAATAAATATACCTTTGTATTTACGATTACGAATTTTGATTATTATTATGAACCAACAAAATATGAACTGTTAAATGATGTCGATGCTTGAAACGCTTCTGGCAAAACTGACAAATTTCTTGGGCTTCTTTATTACATTCTAATCGTTCATGTCGCCTTAGAGTGCTATAATGTTTGTATTTTTTGTTACACGTGCTACAAATGTAAGCCGAACTTGTATCTGCAACAAAATTAAATAAATGTAATACGAAATCACATATACAAGTGATTGGTTTGTAATAATTCCGTAATTAACCTTTGCAGTTTCAAAGAACCGAGAATGTTTATTTCACAATTATACACTCCTTTCATCACGTAGCATTTTAATTGTGATTTTAAGGTTGTTTCACACTGAGCGAACAGATCNTGCTACCATTTGTCGTAAAACAAATGCTAATTATTTAAATATTATTCTCTGCCTCCTTTAAAAATGTGTTTATTGTCTGAAAAGGATTAAGAATCAAAATCATACACACCATTAAAATATTTACAACAATTTACTAAAAAACAAAAAGGATTAAAATATTTGTAATTAATGCACTCAATGAATTCGCATGGGCAGTTCAGTTAAATAACATAAATACAAATAAATTAAACTACAACAAAACTGACAGGAATGTAATTAATTATATTTGGGACAGATGTCGATCGTTAATATGAGTCTTGATCTGGTCTTTTCGTTTGAATCGTTTCAAGCAGTAGACGCATTCGTATTTGGGTTCTTTCCCGCACTCGTGATAAATGTGTCTTCGTAGGGTCTGTTGAGTTTTATAACATTTTTTACACTGAAGACACACGTAACTTCTGTCGGCAGTTCTACCTTCCCATTTGTTTATTGTTTCAATTATCTTATCTGAAAAAGAATAGAAGTCAGTTGAGTACAAACCCCGAAAGTATGAAAAAATCAATTTTGTAAAGTTCAAAACTACCCAGTTAATTTTAAAATAAATAGAAAAATGTGACATGCAAGTCAAAATTATTTTAAAAATGCCCTGAACTTAACGCTGGTATTGGCGCAATAACTATTTTCATTTACCAAAGCTATAAAATGAATACTCTTTAAGGACTTTTTGTAGGAAGAAAACTGCTATTCACCGCCGAAAACTTTGGAACGACGTACATACTTTTTAAAATAAATTATTCTATTCCTTACTGCTTGTACCATTTATTTGTTAAAAGAAAGACCATATGCTTTTGGCATTTGCTATTGACTCATTTGTGACTCGCCGTTTACTCGCCGCACAGGACTCTTGAAAACCTGCCGCATGTCACTTAACAGCAGTAAAATAAACCTAATAAATTGTGACTAAAAAAAAACTTTTGGGTGTTTCATTCCCATCAGCCAGTAATGCTGATGGGCGGGCAGTCCCTCCGGACTACGCCGGAAGGTAGGGCGGAAGGCCCTCTTCAGCCTGCTTCCAGGAATCGTGGGAATGGGTGGGTGGTGGTTCGGGTGAGAAAGATGAGACGGACGAAATGAAGACAGAAGAGAATGAAAGATTATCTGTGGAATATTACTGCCTCAGCATTTGCCTAAGTGATCCAAGGAAACCACAGAAAAACTTGGACCAA